GTTCTTCGTTCTTCTATGGTAGACAATTAACTTTAATTATGAACTGTTCATAAAACTGGGAATTGTAAAGGATGTAAGGGAATAGGGTGGCCATGTTTAACTTATAAAGAAAATACATTGAGCCAAAGAATTATATGTAGGATTAAATATACAGGCACCGACGCGTTAAATCGCGGAAGTAATTTTGTGACCTTTCGGCATCGAGCAGGTTGCAGAACAATACTGTTCTTGCAGAATGATCTAATACGGATTTCAACGTGATAAAAAACAAGTAGTCATAGCTATATTTGCGTAGTGAAAAAAACGCAGATCACACCATGATTTCCTATACGTCGTGAATTGAATAACCTGCACTAGGGAGCTGAAAGGTGAACGTCTCGAATATCTAGATTCAAAATCTGGCGTTTCTAAACCGTTTACCTATTTACGTATGTATTTTTAAACGCTGCACCCAGACATATCACTGACTATATAGACTTTGGTGTTGTTAGTATGCACAGTCTCCAGTCCAGCTCATTCTTGCCAACCTCGTGCAGGCCTGCCAAACCCATTTTATAATTCAATATAAAGCTAAAAGAACCTCGAATTAGAACTTCATGGCGTTTTGAGGATACCTAGATCACCCCATAAATGAGAACCTTAAGGTCTTGACTCAGCCTCAGCTCAAAATGTGAGGTTCCTATCAAAAAATAACAATAAATATTTTAAGAAGCTAAGTGCTTTAGACACTGCATACACAATTAATGACGTCTATCAAATAACACTTTACTAAGTAACATAAGGGTATTCTGAACACAAGAATGTCCTCTCGCTTAAAAAATAAGTCAAAAATATTTTGTTTGCATGTGCGTTCGTGATTCCAATATCTCAGTTTTAGTTTATGCCCTTCATAAACTGCGGTTTCATTTTGAGAACTTTAGTTATTAAGCCATATCAAACTGGTGTCACTTTAAACAAACGTTGACATGAACGTGAAAGCTTATTACCAAGAAGGCTCTAAGCTTTCCGTTTGGCACAGTAACAGAAAAAACAAACAATGGAACGTAACACTTGCGGAATCTTTGGAGGGAGGGGATACCGATGTTAGTATAAACCACTGGATTAGGAGAGAAAGGGTGTTTTTGCCTTCAATTTAGATAGCATCTTTTGGGACCTGGTGACAATCTGAAATACCTCCTCCCACAGTTTGCTTGGTTCCCCCTCACATTGTTAAGTCAGTTGCATGTCTGGACAGGTCGATGGATCTAACACGTACAAAACTGCGTGCTTTGCATCTCAAATTCACTTTTGTACTGGAAGCAGAATGGTTGGAGAGAGCAATATTCTGCTGCTACTTTTTTGCTGTGTACCTTATACTGTGCTCTTTCCCCAGAGGATTGAAGGTAACTTATTGCACTTTATTACGGCATGTAAAGATATTCCACTCCGGCACCAGCTCACCGGTCAGCCCGGGAAAGATGATAAGACAATTTTTGATTAGCTATCCTATCCTAGGTCATGAGTTACTCGATTTCTTTCAAGGCGAGTTTTGAAAAGGGAACGCGGTATGATTCTAACAAACTGAATCGATTGTTGTTATTTTAAAGTGTGAACTTTTCAAAGGACAATGGAA